CAGAATTGCAAAGGTTGGTCAGGTATCTGGGAGTGAGTAACGGAAATATGCAAGAAGGATCACTTCGCTGTGACGTCAATATCTCAGTTCGTCCTATTGGGCAGTTAGAGTTTGGTACAAAGGTTTGCATGATGTGCCTGCCATCTCTTTTGCTTTCCCTTACGCATAGGAAATACAGATTTAAGATAGCTGGATGATTCAGCATAAGATTGCAAACTTTCTAGTTTGCTTTCTTTTGTGGATGTTTTTCCCATCTTATCTTGTTCTGCCATTCTTCTGGATGGATGGTTAGGTTAATTTTGTGTTTTAAGTGAAACATTGGCTTCACTTCCGTTGTTCATCTACGCCCCACAACGGATGGTCCTCTATAATCAGTTCAATGGACAACTTGAATTAGCCACAGCTGCAAGTTCAGTTTCGCCATTTATGAAATTCTTGCTTTAGCATTAAACTTAGTTAGGAACTTTAATTGTCATTTTAATGTGAAACTTGGTCTCTGGTTGGTCCCACGGGAGACTAGATTTGCATGCCAAGTTTAGCGAACATGACCATTTATATTCGGATGAACATAATTTCAGCTTCATTTGGTGTAAACAACCTTCTCTGGAGAAACTTGAAACCATAGAGATATTTAACAAATGAATTCTCGAGTTCTCTTAATTCCTTAAAATACATATTACATGTCGTTCAAGGCTTTAAGTGAATGGCTACTTTATCCTATGTAATTGTTGCTAGTGACCGCAATTTCCCCATTTTTGCAATTTTCATGTCAATAACATGGATTCTTCTGCCTTATGGATTGTGCTTCTGCTTCATCTGCCGTTAATTTTTTACTGTTGCTTTACTATGTTCTGGAAATTCTCTGCATTAAGTGTGTAGTTTAATTTCCATATCCTTAAAGTCAACATTGTATATGATGAACTGATATATTTCATCTTGTGTCAGGTGGAAATTAAAAACTTGAACTCCTTCTCATCAGTGAGTAGGGCCATTGATTATGAAATTTCAAGACAGGTCCTTCTACATAGCCAAGGCCAGGTCGATGAAATTGTACAGGAAACTCGTCTATGGGAGGAAGGTGCTCAGGTATGCTAAATCTAGTTTTCATGCTACTGCAGTATGTCAGATTAGTTTACTCAAGTCTTTCCATGGGAAGCTTATATGTTTAACTTTCTCATACTTCTAGAAAACAGTAACAATGCGGAAAAAGGAAGGACTTGCTGACTATCGTTATTTCCCTGAACCTGATCTTCCTGGAGTTACTCTCACCGAGGAGTATGTGGACAATATCCGTGAGTCATTGCCTGAAGTTCCAGAAGCTAAGCGTCGGAGGTACGAGAACATGGGCCTAAGCATGCAAGATGTCTTGTTTCTCGCCAATGACATGAATGTAAGTGCTGCTCATCTTTCAGGTTCTGATTATACTGGCCGTATTGGCATATGGATCTCCATTGCTATAATTTATCAAGCTGATGTTATTTAGTAACGGCTTAACCTGTGCTTGAAATGCTTCCTGCCGGAAATTTGATATGCTTTTTTAAATCCTTAACTTTCAAAATCATGTTTCTTTTCCCGCTTTGTCCATATATTTTTTTGTAGAAATTTCCAAAATCCACTAATAATTGAATGTTTCAGATTGCAGAATTTTTTGATGCAGCAATTGCAGCGGGTGCCGATGTAAAGCTTGCTGCCAATTGGATTATGGGTGATATTGCTGCATATATGAAAAATGAAAAAGTGACTATCAATGAGATTAAACTTAGCCCTCAAGAACTTGGGGAGCTCATAGCTTCCATTAAAGATGGGACTATCAGTGGAAAGATTGGGAAGGAGGTAATTACATTTTTCGTGCTGATATGTCAACTTTTTTATGGGTCAAAAATCATTTCTAATGCTTACTCTATACATTGCTAATTAGAATTTTAGTTCCATTGATCCTTCTCACCATATATAATATTTTGGGTGCACTAGATTGGGGGTTTGTCCAGTCACAAGTTAACTACCATTTTCCTGATTTCTTCTGCGAATCACAGCCCTTTCAATTGATTCTATTTGCCTAACTTTACCTTATCCAAAAAAATAAAAGATTCCAGTTGCCTTTGAGTAGCCAGTAATTGATGTGCTGTTTCTTTTCTGTGTCACTGCTTCTAATTGCGACATATTAGAAATAGGGTAGTTAAAGATGGAACATATATCAGGAATTAAGCATATACCCTTTTCAGACGGTAATAGTGACGAGATATGCTATGGAGGCCTATTAAAGGAGTCTCTGTGATTGCAGCAATGTAACCTTTTATATTCAGTTGTGATAATCATTAACTATTGTTTGAGCGTCGGTATAACTAATTTCATGAAAGTTATTTCGAAAAACTTGTTAATGTGTGCATAGAAGAGAGGGGAAGAATATCACTTGTGCATTATCAGTAGCATTCTCTATAAATGCATAATATGCCAATGGACCGCTTTCTTCACTGGTTTTACTTGGATCCACTCTGTTCATTTTATATGTTTCTGAATGATCAGTTATCATTGAATTTTACAGATTTTATTTGAGCTAGTGGCCAAGGGTGGAACTGTCAAGGGACTGATAAAAGAAAAGGATTTGGTTCAGGTAAGTTGGCTTGCATTATCGCAAGGACTCTAGTTTATTCCTCTTGTTTCAAATCAATATACAGACGAATGTTTTTGCTGTTTCATTGAAGAGCTGTTAAATTATCTATAAAAATGGATTCTTTTAAATTTCTAAACCATATAATTATCCCCTTTCATCATTTATTACGTCTAGTTATCCTCATTCTGATAGGTAGAGTTAAAGTTATAGGCCATATTACCTGACTTGTAGTCGTTTAGAGATCCTTTGATTAAAATGAGGAAGCTGATCACAAAACAACTACAACTAAAGATACTTGAGGAGGAATATACACTTCAAATAGACATCCAGCCAACTCCAGATTGCTAGAAGATTATGTTAATTAGGTTGATGCTTAATGTTACTTCCAAGGCTTCACGATTTGCATAACAAAACCCTATTTATAACAAGTCGAGATGAAAATTGAGGTATTATTATGGTATAAGCTTTAAAAACATAATGACTAAATTATTATTATTCCAGCTTTGTAAAAGCCTCAGCACAACTCTGCTAGCTTGACTGTAAGAACTTTAAGGAAAATCTACTTTAAATAGCATAGATAATTGCCAAAATTATCTTCTGAAGTGTGTCAAGCTGTGTGTGCATGTTTTTCGATTATACTGCCTAGAATAGGGATTTCTACCATGAGCTATCTTTTAAAACAGATCTTGACCGAAGTGAACTATCTATAATTCAGACTGACTGTCCTTGTGGTAATGTTTTTGAAGTTATAAGATTCTAAAGAAGTGTTTGTTGTTGTTGATTTACATGACTGGCAATTGGAAACTAGTTAGGTAACTGAAGCATATACGTTATGAAAGGAATCTGATGTACTTTACCATTTTTGAATAAACAGATTGTTGACACTGCGGAGATAGAGAAAATGGTAGATAAGGTGATTGCGGATAATCCAAAGCAGCTAGAACAATACCGTGGTGGTAAAACTAAATTGCAAGGTTTTTTTGCTGGCCAGGTATGTTTTCCTTTAGTTCTCCTTGAAATTTATTGTTTTGACATCAAGCTGGCTAATATTTTTCACATTGGTGATCACTAGGTGATGAAGGAATCGAAAGGCAAAGCAAATCCAAAACTTTTGAACAAAATCCTCTTGGAAAAATTAAATGCCACAAGCTGATGTTGGCTGTTGTCTGATCACGTACGAGCTCTGTTTAGTTCTTCCTTTTGCTGGTCAATATATGCAATACTAGACCTTTGCTTCCCTCTCTTATCATATTGCTCATATTCCATATGATGTGATTTCAGCGATTGGCTACTGATGAAGAAGCGGCTTTATTTGGTAATAATCTTGGTATCTCCAATTACAAATGCAAGTACCCGAAATGTGCTTCTACATCATTTGCATATCGTCAGCACTGAGGAAGACAAATTTAGCAGAGTTAGGGCAGGTCATTACTTTCAAGATTTTTTGAACTAGTTATTAATAAGTACGACCGTGGTATAATTTCAAACGGCCAAGCTTCTGATTTATGTACTATCATAAGGGGGGAATAAGCTGCTTGTTATTGCAATTGTAGCTGTACTTTCTTCCTTCAAGTGTAATTAAAGTATGCAGTTTTCTATGGATTCAACGTCATTTTCCATATTTCTGTTGATGAAGCTATTGTTCTATATATTTTTTTCCTTTAAATATGCATGATGAGATTGAGAAGCTAATGTTAAGGTTTGCAGTTTCTACGCTGGCATTGTTTGAAAGTCCTGTTCTGTTATATAACGAATTTACAGCCCCTGCTTCTTGCCCCTAGCTATTATATTGAGTGTTGATATAAGCTGCCCAATGAATTTCGGATACTAGATGCATGAGCATAAGATAAAAATCTTGAGAACCCAATTTGCTTCTAAGAAAACATGCTTAAGATAAAGAGATGCAAACATAATTGGGGTATATCACTTTTAGCCCGCACTAGAAACTATTTATATTCGGTAATCAAAAAAGTATATAAAATTTGTATTATTTTAAGGGCGGTTATACAATGTCATTTTCCTAACAAAATTCTTCAAATAGCCGAGAATTTGCACTGTGGTTCTAGCCAGGCTTTCCTGAAGACCTAACTTTTCAAAATTGGGAGTCACTTGTAGGATGCATCTAATACATTGTGAAATATAATCTATCAATAATAAATTAATAACATATTTTTCCTTTTATCTATGTTCTCCATATATAATAACGTATGTATATATGGAGAACATAGAAGGTGAAAAGTTTGTTACCCTTTCAACACGAGAGGTCGACATTCATTTGGTCTTTCTAATGGCTTTTTCAAACAGTAAGAAAGGCATTAAGTTTAGGAATCACAATTATTTTTTTTGTATAAGAAACTACCCTTTTAACAGATATATATACATGAGTATCATATATATACGAGAAGCCTAAAAAGATGACAGCCTCATATTCTTGTTTTCTTCCTTGTTTACCGTTCCTCTACCATTCCCACAAGCCCTGGTTTCATCATTAGGAGAGAACCAACGTTGGTGGTGGTGGTGGAGGGGGGCGGTTCGCGGTTGCGGTGGTAACTAATGGCCAGAGACCATATTATGGCAGATGGGAAGAACTCAACACGAAAAGTAATGGTGGTAGCCGATCCAACTCGTGAATCAGCAGCCGCTCTTCAATACGCGCTCTCCCATGCAGTCGCGGAAAAAGACACGTTGATTCTTTTGCATGTTGGTAACCCTAATGCATGGAGAAATCTCCTTGGTTCTTTCATCAAGAAGCCATTGCCAAACTCAGCTACATCATCGTCCACGTCCACGACCTCTTTATCCTCTCAATCCGAAGAAGGAAGAGGCATACACAATAATCCATTAGGTGCTTTCTTTAAGAAATCACTAGCATCCTCTGCATCACCACCGTCGTCCACGCCCTCCAACGCGGCGGAAGACGGTGGTGTCAGAGGATGTGGAGGAAAGGGATACATGGATTTTCTTGGGACAATGAAACAAGCATGTGAGGCTGCACAACCTAAAATAAAGGTTTGTACAGAGACAGTGGAAATGGATGGCAATGCCAAGGAAAAGGCTTCTATCATTCTTGCTAAAGCTGCATCTCTTGGTATTGATGTTCTTGTTATAGGTCAGAGAAGGAGTCTTTCTAACGTAATACTTCGGTGAGTTTGTATTCCTTTCACATTATCTAATTCAAAATGAGAATTACAAGAACTGTAGAATATGGTAATCCAAGTAATAAAGTAATGGCTCGCCCCCGAGCTATAGTCAAGTGGTAAGTGCATAGCGCATGATGTGTGGCTGGTGCACATTACTAGTTCTAACCATGACACACACACACGTTGTTTAAGTGGAGAATGGGTAGAGGAGCAAGCCCATTACTTACCGAGTTTCACACCGTGTGCCAATTGGCCCTCATGAACTCGGACCAGCATTGGTTGGCGCATATACTAGTTCTACCATGACACACGCGCTAAAGTGGACAATGGGTATAGGAGCAAGCCCATTACTCAATGAGTTTCAACCCATGCGCCAATCGGCGCTCGGGAATTAGGACATGCATCTAACAAACACTCCCCCACCCCCCGCCCCCCACCCCAAAACATCCTTTACTTCCCTTCTCCTTGTTGAGTAAGTGTAAATCATCTTTGTATTTGTGTGGCCAGGCCAAGACGAAGTGTATCGCTAAGAGGGCTGGGACTGGATATGGCAGAATATTTGATTGAGAACAGCAAATGCACCTGTGTTGCAGTACAGAGGAAAGGCCAAACTGCAGGATACCTTCTCAACACCAAAACTCATAGAAATTTCTGGCTCTTAGCATAATCTTAATTATACGTGTATAAAATAGTTTCTTCATTTTCCTTTTTCCACTTATAAATGGCTCGAACTCCACATCCTTCTCAATTTTATTTGGTTATCTACAAAGAGTATTGCTATGTCAATTTTGGAGTTGAAATAGAAAATAGATGTCATTTCATTCTGCTTTACTCATTGTGAAGGCTTATGCTATCAGAGGCGGATTTAGGGGGGCGGAAGGCGGTTCAACAGAATCCCCTTCGCCGGAAAATTACACTGTACATATAAGGCAAAGTCCGTTTTGTGCCTCTATATATTATATGTTAATCCCCTTGCATAGCTTAAAAGCGTATCTCAGTGGTCAAGGGGCTTCAAACCTTGTGAGGTTGCTGGTTTTACTCTATTCCCACTGGCCACAATCTTTTTTAATTTTTTAATTTTTGAGCCCCTTAGCAAAAATCCTGCCTTCGCCACTAAATGCTATGCTCAAGTGCAAGAACACAACAAGATTGTACATGCATTCTCTTACTGGGCATATATTGTTTATCTGTGTCTACAATACCAAGATCAAAAACATATAACCAACGGAGTAAAAAGACCAAAGATGAAGGGACCAAGGCAAGCTGTGAATAATAGAAAAAACAAAAGAACACAAAACTATGTTATTGAAATGCTGTACCAAGATATGGAGCTTCATAGATGAAATTGCATGTAACAAAGAAAATGTACAAAACTAAAGAGAATTCAAAGTTCATCATGCATTGCTTGTTCTAAGGGTACATTTAACTCGGGTACGGGATTCATCTGAACCTGAGCAACATTTGCACCTTCTCTACCGACTCTGGGTACTATCTCCACCTGTCCAGCTGTACCAGCCTTCACAGCTTCAATTAGCTTACGCTGCAACTTGAGCAGGCCAATACGCTTTGACACCACATAAAGAACGGCCAAGGAGAAAATAGTAAATCCTACAACCAGTATCACCCTGCTCACAGATTTGTGTTAGTGTTGCAATAAGGGTCAAATACACTTTTAAACAACATACTAACAAGCAGGAAGAAAGTACGATACAACAGAATTGACAGTAGAATTGCAAAGAAAGGTTTATGTTATTTTAGAAAAGTCATTGTCACATGATACCTGTCCAGAACGTCCTGCCGTTGCATTGTGGATAGAAGGCTCCGCGTTCGTGTTAGCAAGGAGCGGTGGCCTTTGTATTCACTCTCAGCTTTCGTTAATACCCCTGTTGATTCATCTGCAGTATCCAGACCGTGTACATTGTCATCTAGTCTCAACTTACATTCCACATTCAGGATATGAAGAATACGGTCCAAAAGTCATAGAGCCAGTCACCAGACTCACCACATTGGATAGTAAATGCCCATGTAAAAGTAACCATGTTGTTGTCATCTTTCAAGAGGTGTATGTATCTACCGATTCATCTACAGCATACCACATTGGATGGGACAGATCCATCGAGCCATGTAATAAATAACTTCAATGTATTTTCTGGTCAAGTTTTGGTTACATTTTTCCTTACACCCATTAAGCTTTTATGCCGCAGATCATGTTTATTTATAAGGCTACTTTTACACTGAGGTAAACATATTTAAGTGCACTTACCTAGTACTTAACCTGGGTGATCACTCAAAATAACACAACAAGGCCTAGCTCTAAGTTGAGCTTTGATTGACCAACAAAAGTGGCATATATCTGAAATTGAGGTTTATGATGTTTTGTTTTCCACATTACTTCAGGAGTATAATCAAAAGTAACTAAAGTAGAATCTACTCAGAAGCAAGCAGGATACTTGTCAAACCGAATTCGTTTTCGCTGCAATTACAAATGTAGCATGTTTGACACACTTCCTAACATTATGTCCAGAAAGGGACCCTATTATTTTTGTTGCATAACAAGAAGAACTGCAGTTTGTTGATGCTTCTGTCGATATAACACCATTCTTAAAGAAATATCTTATATCCCCTTCAACAAGATAGGAGGAAAAGGGGAAGGAAAAAAAACTTTCATCGCAATATGAACTTTTACTTAACCATCCATTTCATGCAATCAAAATCTTTTTATGAAGTAACAACAACTCAATAAATAGCAAAAGAACTAGAGAAGACAAAGAAAACGTCATCTGAATGAAGCAACATAAAGTAAACTGATAATAAAGATTAAGGACATATCATGCCAAGAGTGAATGTCATTCATAAACATGGAAAGGTACTTACCAACTGTCATTAGAGTGCTTGCACTTCTTTCAACTTCCTGTAAGCATAATATAAACGACAAGAGAACAAGCATTGTTATGCAACATATAAATCTCACAAATAATAATACGAGTAAAAAGAAAATAGGGTTAAAATCAAGCAGATCAAAATAGAAGAAAGATGGCAATAACCTGAACCATAAGTTGGCGAGTGCGGCGTAGGCTCTCCGTTATACTTTCAGCTGCAGATGTCATTCCAGCTTTTGTCCTGGAGAATACAGTAATAGTTTAGATATATAGAACCTCAGTTATAGAAAGAAAATTTTTGATACTTCTGCCCACAAAAGCACAACCGCTTAAACTTTTGAAGATGTAACCACGGCAGTATAATGACTCAAAAAGTACCACGTACTGTAGATTTCGCCTGCGAACTGTAGATTCTTCTCCACCTCCCAATAGAAGCTCCCTCTGACATCATATGAAAACAGATGTCAACATGACATCTTTTGTAAGTATCAGGGCCAAAAGAGGAGACATTGCAGGTAATAAGTTTCCATGTGTTTGACATCATATCAACAAAGATGACAGAATGATTTCTTCTGTGAGTATCAGTCATAAAGAAGGATAAATTGCAGGATGTTTCGGAAGTTAATAATTCTGGCATGCTAAACAGAATCTCTACACAAATATACAAATTACCTCTTCTTGGGCAGCTTTCCTCATGTTTGCCTTTGCTTGTAAATTAGCATTTCTCAAACTCAACCTCAAGCTGAAACAGACATTTAAAAAATAATGAAAGAAGAGGAAAGCATATGGTAGTAACTAATTTCATACATGCAAAAGTGAGAATAGTATCACGTCGTCCTCCCACCATGATCATGGTTAGTGAGTAAAAAGTTTAAACATCCAGTGGAACAAACTCATGAAGAGCCCAAACCTTACACAGAACAGGATACCCAAAGAAACAAATAAATAATGAACCAAACAACTCTTCCAAAAAAGCATATATTATTGACTCCTCGTCTCCTGGAATGGAGCTTTTTCAAAAGGACAACAAACAACTATGCCTCGATCCCAAACTAGTTGGGGTTGGTTATATGAATCCTCTATATCAATTTCGCTTCGAATGCATTTTCATTCCAATATCTATCCACATTCGGACTTAATGCAAGTGTAACAAACAATAGCTAAAACCAAATTCCCAACTAGTTTTTTAGTATCACATATGGATCCTTTACTTCGATTTTTCTGTTGTTCGCTAAATCTGCATTGGTTCTAAGAGATTTTAGGTCTTTGAAGGCACCTTGCCTCCATGTGATTTTGGATCTACCTATCCTTTTCAGCAACATCAATCACCATAATGTCACACTTACGGACTGTAAATTTGGAGGCCTACATAAGAAATGACAAAAACATCGAGACCTCTCTTATTTTCATCCTATATGTGTTCTACTTGCATACTTGATTTGATGTGATCATTTCACATCTTATCAAATTGTATTACTGCACATATATCTTAATGCTCACATTTTTATGACACGTCTTATGGATTATGAATATGTTGGCTCTTAGAAGCCTAGCATTCACTCCCATAGTAAGACCATGGCATGTTACTTCTTCAACACTAACAATCAATACAGACAAGTATAACCTACACAATGTACAGGTGGTCTATGATTCTTGTAAGGCAGCCCTTGGCCAGTATTACTGGGTTTTGTAACCTAGCAGCCAAAACAAGTTCCCTCTTCAATTACCTCAAGAATCTAGCAACTAGCAACTCTAAAGAAAAGGGTAAATAAATTTCCTCCAGACCTTCTCTTTCTGGATATCAATTCTTCCGTTATAATGTAACGACTAAGTTAATTCCAAAGACCCAATTCGGTTAAATCAGTCTTCCAAAGAAGAACACCCATATTTTGTCAAGTTCCACATTGTATTACCAAGTAATGATCAACCGACTCATTATCTAAAAACCAAAAAACAAGACAAATCAAAATCTTCCCTATTCTGAACCAACCTCTCACACCCAAAATCTCTGACTTCCTTACATTACTCCTATACACAGTATTGGAATGAATAAATCCAAATAGTGCAGAATAAATAAAGAGAAATACATATTGCCACACCCAACTACTCCCTTCTTTATTTTTAAAGATGGTGGTGTCGGGGCCAGCCTGGGCGCACCTTGACTATTGCACCGGATACCTGCTACCTCCCACAGCGCAGCTACCGAATAACTCTGCAGCCCCAACTATTTTTCTACACAGTATCATAGCATCTACCAGGAACAAATGTATGAAGTGTTTACTTTATAGCCACATTAAGATTTGAGTTTCCAAAGTTGTGCCAAAGACTGAAACTTTTCAACTTGATCACATGAAAACAAGACAATTTAACAATCCGCATTTCCTGATCAACCTTTGAAACCCCACATTGCTGAATTCCTTCACATTACTTTTACACACAGTATTGGAATGAAACAGTTCTAAATAGGGCAAACTGGATATTGAGAATATACTCTTCTACACAGTTTCATGGTGTGTAACAGAAAAATCAATCAATCAATAAATAAAAAGCTTAAAAAGCTACCTTTGGATTTGGGTTTTCCAAGATTGAGCCAAAGACTGAGTCTTTCCAACTTGATCATCAAAAGGGAGTTGTGGGGCTAAGAGATCAAGCTTGAATTGAAGTGATTGAAGCAGATTCATTCCATCTTGAGCAACACCATTCAATCTTGGGAGTGAACTTTTCTCTTCTGAAATTAATCTTGTCGATTTGCCATATTCCTGAATGGAATTGATGTGTTGTTGGGTCTGTTTATATGTTTCTTCAAACTCTTTTTTCACTTTTTCCACTTCCTCCACCACCTCGTCCATTTGGGGGTTTTGCAGAGTTGAGTTCTAGCTCTTTTAGCAAAGAATTTTGGGAATTTTCGGAAAAGAAATTGCCAAGGAGACCAAAGATCCAAC